GGAGAAATTTCTTTAGAACCCCATGAAAAATCTCCCATTGGAAATGCTATTACTATCCGATGCGCATATACGTCGTAGGACTTATATATGCAGAGATAGTGTAGTTGGATAATTTTGGTCATATGGTCGGTAATACTATAACATGAACTTCGTTTTTCTTGATTTTTAGAAGATATATTATTTCAAATCTTTTCATTTCCGAAAAGGATTGTAAATGAGAAATGAAGCCATTTAAAAAATGGTTAACAACATAAAAAACAAAAGGATATATATACAAACCATAATTATCAACAAACATGTTTTTGTTAGAAAAAATTCTAAAGTACATGGTGCATTCATGATCACGATCGATCGATCTGATACTATAGAATCTTCCGACTACTAAAACTGTCTCTTTTGGTTTGAACATTGGTTAATCTTCAATCACTTCTTCATTGTTTTGGATTTCTTTTCACAGTTTTTACGTTATTATCAGTTTTCTAGAGACCGTTGAAAAGGTTTTGATGAGTATATTTCAGATAATCACATTTTTATAATTGTTAACTGATAATATCTATCATAAGTCGGTTTAGGTGATTCATTGCGATTTTTAGAATTATTTGAACAGAAAACACTATTTTAAAAATAAGTATGGTTATGAGCAAACATTTTTTTAAAATAGATTTTGAGTGTGAAACTTTTATTATGTGTGTGTTGAAAGGAAATCTAAAACTATGTGTGACTAAAGCAAAACATGAAATTTCTGGTGGAACTGTTGATCGATCACCAAAATTTTAATCAAAATGTCAAACAAATGTAAGTGATAAGTCCTACATAATTCTGACCCCCACATTAAATGAAATCAACAACCAACTAACTAGTCATTTCCTCTAATCGCCTTCACATTCATTACATTAACTTTCCTTGTCTATGTAAACACTTTCCTTCATCACTCATCGTATATGCTTTTGCAAACCTAACAAAAACCCTAAAACTAAGAGAAAACTGGCTAGTGTAATGAAGTTGGCATGCTTGGTCTTGGCTTGTATAATTGTGGATGGTCCAACCACAGCGAATACAGCTCCGAGTTGTATGCCTATTAACAAAATCGTGGCAGCGTGCAGTGGCTACTTGCAAGGCCGATCCAAAGTCTTGGGCTACCTAAAGTAATAAAAAAAAAATTGTTTGGCCAATAACAAAGAGAAAAAAAACCCACTAATCTGCGAATTATGTGCATCAAACACTGGTCTGATGTCCTAAGATGCCA